GGCATGGCGTCTCTTCAAGAAACGACATATGCAAATAATAATGGATTTAATAATCTGTTACGGTAGTTGTTTCCTTATTTTTTAATCTAGATGTTTTGGGTTCAAGTCTCGATTATATCACTTTTTTTTCACTTTTATTGAATATAATTTTATATTAAATTTTATCTTCTCTTCTAAAATAAAATAACTACTAATTCCAAAAAAACAATTTACTATTAAAAATATATAATTTATTGTTGCCTATATGGCATATCTCAACAATAATTAACACCTACTCGTACTAAATAAATAAATAAAACAAATTATATTGCAATTATTTATCTTTTAAACAAATTTAAATAAATTTTACTTATTGAAATTTTATTTTCTATAATAAAATTACTACTAATCCTATAAAAAAAATTAAAATATTTACTATTCAAATATATTACCAAAACAACTACTAACTTTAAAAAGAAATTACGATTAAAAATATATTGTTTAAAAAAAGAGAGATTTTATTTTACGAATTAAGTAAATTGAAATAAATTATATTAACGTAGTAATTATAATTTAAAAGTAAAAATAATTAATTACATTTTTTTATAATATGTTTTTTAATAGTAATTATTGTTGTGTATTTTTAGAATCTTATTTTATTTTATTTTAGAAGAGAAGATAGATTTTAATATAAAAATGAAAAGAAAAAGTGATATAATTGAGACTTGAAGTCCATTATCTTTTGCATATGTCGTTTTTTAAAGAGACGACATACCAAAATTAAACAAAAACACAACGGCACCAACGAGGTGCCATGCAACTAGGGAAGCGTGAGGTGACATAGGTCGTCTCTTATGAGATGACCTACAATTTCCAAAACATTATTTTTTGAAATAGTTCGAGGTTGATATATATTTGGAATAAGTTGAAGCATTATTGAAAAAAAAAAATCCCACAACTACAAACCCCAATATTCGGCCCAGGGCTATTCATTCAAAATTGAGCTTCTAGTTAAGAAGATGAATTGAAAAATAATGCCAATCCTCAACTTTATCTTTTATGTTTTATCTACTAAACTGACTAGAAGAAGAAAGAACAAACTATTATTTGATAACTATTTCTACTTTCAGTTTTTTTATATAATTTTGAAATTATTATTAAAATTCAAAGTATGATCTAAATCAAACATATTATAAAAACATAATTGAAAAGGTCATGCTTTTGAAAAAAGTGAAATTTTTTAAAAAAACATATTGAAAATTTTCCTTTGTTTTTAATTTTAAAAAGACTGGGACCAAATATGTGAAATATAATAAATTGAAATAGGAACCAAATTTTAATATCAGACTACAATTTTGAAGAATGTTTCTGTAGATTTTTTTTTTTTATTATTCAAACTGGAAGTTGTTAAAGAGAGAGAACGAGGGAAAAAAGGCCACAAAAGGCTACAATTGAATATTGATTTTCAGTCAAAAATTGAGAAATCATATCTTCAACCATGAAGTCCCATGGAAATTAGAAATTGACAAGAATCTTGAGATAATAAATTTTCCAAACTTTCTTTGTGATCATTCAATTGATTCTTTTCCAACCAGACTTGATTCTTGTCTGTTAACCGTTGGGATTGCTATTCAACTATCAATATCTCCAAGAGAAGCTTCCTCTAGAATTAGCGTCCATCATCAAAACTTCTTCCAATATTCTATCAAAACTTCACCGTCCATCGTCACCTGCAACACTTGGAAACGAAATGGTTGCAGAAAATACCCAAAAAATTCCAAATTTATGGATGGAATCAACCCAAAGAACGGAGAAAACTCTCACATGGCAGAGAGAAAAATAGACAAAAAAAATTTGACTTGTTTCTCTGCTACCGATAGCGATCTTCAATCTTTTTGTAGATTGAAAAAAAAAAGGGAAAAAGTAGAGGAATAAATTATTGGTTAATCTTATTATTTAAAAATTACTAAATAGATTTTAAATTTTAAAACAAAACTACATGAAATAAAACTTGGACTAAAAGTTGTGAATGGAGCAAAGGAAGGTTAAACATAAAGGGAAATTGATGGCCAACTAGACTAGTTAAAGACATATGCATTCAACCATGTGGTTGAGAGTTCGACTTCCGACCCTCACATATTGTACTAAAAAAGTAATAAAGGGAAATGACGAATAAAAAAGTAAATAAAAGAAAACAAAAAGCTAAAAAGAAATACTTTTGGCCTAATATTCGAGGAAATAATCTGGTCCTTAAACTTTAGTCTTATACTTTTAATTAGATAATAATTTAGTCTCTAAATTTTAATAATGTTTCTTTCAAAATTAAGGATAGATTTTTATTATGTAACAACTTAATATTTACGGTTTATAAACACATATGAATCTCATTAAATTTTAACAATATTTTACGTAATAGGAACTAAATAGTTTTAAAGTTTAAACTAAAAAATTAAATTATTACTTGCTTAAAATTTAAGAAATAAATTTTCGCAATTACGAGAATAGAATAACTCAATCGTCACAAATTGACATTTCTAACTAAATGGTTTTTTTTTTTTTAATGAAAAGAGGTGTCCCATCAGCCGCAATTTCTGGCCGTCCAAGCAGATTTGTGGTAGCAGAACACCGTTTTTGTATGCGTAATTAGTTATGATGTTTTTGTGGTGCAGCTTTATGTGCACATGGTTCATCTTATATGCAATTTAGCTATGCTTTTATTTTATCAATTCTTTCGACTTGGACGGCAACAAATAAGAAACTTTAAAATTCTGAATCTTCAGATTGTCGATAAGAATGTAAATAAGGATTTTATTAAAACAAAAAAAAATGTAAATAAGATTAAATACATAAAGTCTAGTGAAAATTGAACATAGTACAGTACAAGAAGCAGACATATGCTACCTGTATCTTTTACTCAACCTTCATAAAACAATTCTCAAATAATAAAAGGCTTTTAAAAAATAGATTTAGTAGTAAACCAAAGAAGTACACCAGTAAAATAAATATTTGTAGCCTTCCCGAAAAGAAAAATAAATATTTATAAGTTAGGATTTAAAAAATATAAAACAAAATACAAAGTAGTTAACAAATAGGGAATTCACCCACTACGGTGCAAGCACTAATTTCTCTTTGCTATTAAATTGGAAATTTTACATCAATCCAATTTTCATCTTATTGAACTTTTTGTATTTTATGTCCGTCAAAAAAAAAACTTTTGGTATATTATTATTATTAGTAGTAGTAGTAGTAATAACTACTCTTATATTATTTTATTTACAAATACAATATAATTTGTATTCATATTGACCTTAAGTGGTGGTTACTGAGTATGGTAGAATGATTCGGTTTATTAATTATTTTTTATTAAATATAAAGTCACCTTAAGGCTTAAAGAAAATATGGATAAATGGGTTTCATTTTATGATGGAAAAACCTTTTTTTTTAGATAAATAATGAATTTTTTTTTATTACAATACATTGAAGAGAGAATTTGAACTCACAATTTTATGGTTGGAGGTACATGTCAATTATCACTGAACTATGCTCGCTTTTGACAATAATGAAAAATTCTTTGGAGTAAGACTTTGTACGAGGAAATCACATATATAATATATATTAGTCTGATGATTTATTCATTTAGGCAGTTTGAGTTTGATTAGGCATTCTTAAAAAAAATTAATTAATTACAAAATAAAAAAGCACAATTATTTTACAGGGCAGAATACTAAAAAATTAAAATATATATATATATTTATATATCAGGGCAGCTTGACTGACTTTCTCACGTACAGTGTCGAGCACGTGGTTCCACGTGTCATTGCAAAAATCGAAATTTATTGATTTGTTATTATTATTATTTGCAAAGGAAAATTTAATAAATTACCGTCACTGCATAATAATTAACGTACATTTTACCCTGCTTTTTAAAAATTTAAATTTAAATATTATTTTTATCTATATATTTTAGTTTGATTTATTTTAATCTATATATTTTTTGGAAATTTATTTTGATTTTTTTATTCTTAATTTTTGTTATCGTAACAAATTCAATTTCTATTTACAAAATTTACATACATTTTAGACGCATTAGAAACTCTTTATATAGAAATTTATAGTCACAAAATTTAGTTATTAAATTATCACCCTAAAATTATTATTGAAATTAATTAGATAAAAATAAAAGTGAATGATCAACCTAATTACTCTTTTAAGAGTATAAGAATTATTTTTTTTAAGACAAGTACATTAATTAAAATATACATTTAAAAATATACTACACTAAAAAAAATCGAAAATACATGTATTAAATAATATTTAAACCATATGTTTTTACATTTTTATCCTATTTTTTAAATTTTTATTATTATTATTTAAATATGCTATTTTAATGTTTCAAAAAATATTTAAGTTAAAACTTGATATTATAATTTACCTGTCATTTCAACTACCTATTGCATGAAATACCTACAAACAAAAAATTGAAGAAGACAGTTTATATATGCCGTATCTCTAAAAAAGAATTAGAATAACATTGTTTATTTTAAAATTTCAAACTTTTTAGAACAAGTAGCTCGTAGATTTAGTCAAATAAAAGAAAAGCATTAACTCTATAATATATGCAAAATGTCAAACGACCAAAATAGATGGTAAAATTTGATAAACCATAATTTAAATTAATTTATTTTTAGCACGACACAGATAAAATATGAATATTCAACTTCACAATACGAATGTTCAACTTCACAAGGACAAGAGACAACTCTAAACTATATACATTACATTGACATTTTAAAAGTATAAAAATCATGGTCCAATTCATCGATCAACCAATAATGATAGTCAAAGCGAGTATAAGTCAACGATAATTGGTATATATTTTCAATTAAGAGATTGTGAATATGATGTCCCACCTCACGTTGTACTAAGAAAAGCTAACCAACAATGATATATATATATATATATATATAGCATACCAATATTAATAATTTAAATTTTAAATTATATTTAAACACAAACATGACTTTCGTTTACAATTTTGGGGAGTACTAAAATAATTTATTGGCATCATAATAATTCTGAGCAAGAAAAGAATACAAATTAATTTACACGATCTTTGAAGATCCGCCTACCTAATCCGACACGAGGCCTAAAATTTCAACGAAAATTTAGCGAAAATCAATTCGTGTGAACTATACAAAAATTAAACTCTCCATCCCATCGGAGATATCTCGAATCAGAATTCAGAAATTAAATGCAATAGAGGATTTAAAAATCAACAATATAATTTCATATATAACATACTAGATTCCGTTAATTGAAAATTGAATTTTCTTTTCTCGCGATCAAAGCCACAAAGCACCGGCATCTTTTAACGCCGGCACCAATTCGCCAGAGATATGAGCTGCCATCACTCTTTCCAACCCACCAAACACCTTCCCTCCGACAAACACCACCGGAAACTGCACCCTCCCGTCGTTTCCATCCCCCGCACCGGCGGATTTCGCAATCTCACCGGCGATATCGGCCTCGTCTTCCTCATCGACGGCGAAGAAAGCCGGGTTCGCGCCGTGGCCCAACAGGAGCAGTTTCAAAACATGGCTCATACAACACCCACTCCTTGCCAGGACGACGACGGCGTTTTTGGACACCATTTTGTGAACACTCGCCGCCCCAGCGCTGCTGCCGGCGCCATCGACGGCCTCCGCCGTGGGATCGGAGGACCGGCAGGAGGCGGCGGCCGGAATCCACGTCCTGTACGGAATCGCTTGGTGCATAACGCAAAATTGGTAAAGAAACAGACCAATTGGGTATGTTTGCAGAGAGAAATGGGGTCAATTAGCGAATTTGGGGATTTGGGGCGGAATTTGGGATTTATTTATAACGTGGGCAATTAGCGATTGGGCTGTGGAAAAGTTAAGCGTCAACACGGGTAACGCAATGTTGTACGTAATAGAAACTGTAGGTGACGATTAATTGCGTCACAGCCTTGCTTGGTCAGACAGATTCCAATGAGCTACGTAGCAACGGTGACGATATTAGTTTCTTCCGCGCGCCTTGTATTAGGTGTTAATTAGGTGCTAATGATGATTATTAAACAAAGCAACCCATTAAATTATTTTTATCTACATTTTCGATGGGGACATTTCACGCTACTTACTATTTAATTCTTCCGATCTCTAGATTTAAGAATTAGAAAGAGTCTGAATCAAGTTGACGTATATTTTGGTATTTAAAAAATATTAAATGAAATCTAAGCTTATCGGATGGAAAGGGACAAGTGATAGTGACGTGGTTTTGAATTATTCGTAATTATGGAAATTAAGGGATGGATTAAGGTGGGGTCTTAGTTTTTGGTTTGGTTTGCTGAGATATGGGGTGACAAATGAGGGGTAGTTGCGAAATCGCCACGTCGTAGAATGTTCTTTTGTGATTAAAGGGATAATTGTTTTTAGGTCTAAGTTAAGAATATTTATGTTCTTTTGTGATGTATACATTTTTATTATTTTTTTGCTTTCGGCTAGGGAATGCCAATTTTTCAACATCTCCATGTGTATTTCCTGTGTAATTAGAAGGTCTTTATCTATTCACAAAATTTGAGAATGTCCTTTTTGTTTTGTCTTCAAGTCTCTTCCTTTTTAAATATCTTTGCACAATGTGACAATAATAATTAATCGGTACATTAGATATATTAAGGGCAATCAATAAAATTTTGATATAAATAAAGCAAACAATATATCAAAACAGCTGGTGAGACCTATGTTTACCAAACTAGAAAATGGAGATAGTTTAAGTAGGTGCTCAAGTAAAAATTTGAAGCACAAAAAAACAAAATTTTTAAAATGGTCGGTTGTTGTT